AAAAAAGAAAAGCATCATGTGCTGTTTGGACCAATAACTGGTCAAATAAGAATTAGGTGTATGAGCTGTAACAAATCTCTTAGATATCTGTCTAATCGAATGCCTTTTTTCTGTCCTCTACAGTTTCTATTTGACTAGTATATATGATCACTCCATCTTTGAGGCCTTCAGTAAAGTTGTCCAGAAGCTCATCCCTCAGCTTCCCACGCTGGAGAACCTTCTCAACATCTTTATATCTGTATGTGTCTCTACCTCAAGACTCTAACGCTTCTAGATAGGCCATGCTGTTTAAATGATATTTGCACCGGCTTAATAAAGCTCCATTTCCTCTTTGGTCACTCCATTATTGTCATTATGAAGAATATATAGTGTTGTTGTTGTTGTTGCTGTAGTGGAAATGGCTTATTCATTTTCCATCTCTGATTCAGTCATGTTCATGCATGTTTTATTATCCTCTCTATGCTGTAAGATCCCATATCAAACCCTGCAGGGCATTATGCAACGTGTGCGTGTGTGTGTGTTTCTCTGCTAATAGAATTCAGGGATTGAGAAGGCCTTCCTGTTTGACGTCGTCAGTAAGATTTACATCGCCACCGACAGTTCACCAGTGGACATGCAGTCCTATGAGCTCTGCTGTGACATGATCGATGTGGTCATCGACGTCTCCTGTATTTACGGGTGAGCCTTTTATATTATTTCTGCTTGGAGTACGTGCACAATACATACAAACACAATCTATCTATATCCATCTATCCATCTCTCCATTGACTCAAATTTCACCCACATCCCTCTTTTGCTCATGAGAGCGCTTAAAACTTTATATTCCCCAATTCTCTTAACTTGCAGAACCTACTAATTTCCTTTATTGTGGATGGTTTTAAACTAAGGAAATGTGACAGACCATATACCTTATTTTTATTTGTCACAATGGTGAAAAGCATTTTGAATTACTGTATACTGTAAATGACTCAAGTTGGATCCAATTTGAATCCAATGTTAATTCCATTTTAATAATACATATAACTGCTCAAATAACATAATGTAACATCCATACAAATATACATAATGTAGTTTTTCCCTTAAGAAGAGGAGTTGACATGTTCGTAACATTATTTTTAGTGTGCTTGTTGTGTGTTTTGATCATATAGATTAAAGGAGGATGGCACTGGCAGTGCATATGATAAGGAGTCTATGGCCATCATCAAACTCAACAACACCACAGTGCTCTACCTGAAAGAGGTCACCAAGTTCCTCGCCCTGGTCTGCATCCTGAGAGAAGAGAGCTTTGAGCGCAAAGGTACACCACAGCAATAGTTATGTCGGTGTCTTTCATACTAGCAGTTTTCGGTTATTTTTAATTCTCCTATTTGTGCCGCAGGATTAATAGACTACAATTTCCACTGTTTCCGGAAAGCCATTCATGAGGTGTTCGAGGTGGGCGTTTCCACCTCAAGGACAAGCACTCAGCCAGCTGGCACCCCTCTTATGAAGACTGTTGCCTTAAACGGAACCCCCAGGAGCACTGTGTAGAAAGATAGCGATAAAGACAATGATGAAAAGTGTGGAGACGAAAGAAAATGTAACAAAAGAGAGAGACTACAGGATGGGTCGCATTCTTTATGCCGACCATCATTACTGCTCCCAAACGCTTTACAAGCAAAAGAGTTTGAAAGTCATTAAAATAAACTTGCTGCAGTGGGTGGGGCAGAAATATAACGTGGGCAAGCTTGCAAAGCTACAGATGGATGGAAGGGAAAAGGCACAAAAGAAGGTGGAACACTTTTTTTGTGACTAAAAGGCATTAACAAACTGTTCCTCAAAAAAACAAGTAACAATGTGCAAGTCACTGAGGAAAAAAAACAAAAGCACAGCAAGAAACCTCTCACCCTGTCAGGCCAAACCGCCTGACAACTTGGATGAATGCTGTATGATACTGTGCTGGTCACTTAACACAGTAGCCAAGTTTAAACGCATACCCGGTTTACTCCTCAACACGTGAATGTGGCAGACTTCTGTGAAAATTTGTGGTGCACAAAATTTGAGTGTACACTTCTGAAGCCTTACGTAGAGGCCTGTCTGATGCAAGCCCTTAGTGCACACATGCATACTCGGTCACCTAAACAGCCCATGTATTGTGTATGAAAGGTTAGTAAAGGGATTGATATGTGGTTTTGAATTTGTCTCGAGTGTGTTTGTGTGTGTGCACATGCATGTATGCAGTGGAGAGGGATATGCACCAGTTTGATGGCCCAGAGATGTTGTGAAGTCACACGTGGGAGAGCGTTTGCGACTCCGAAGACTGAGAAAGAGCTGTACCGTTCCATTTGACCTCTGGAACACTGTGATTGCACTTACCTCGGAGGATGTCAGGGATCATAACTAACAAAATTCAAACTCCTAATGCTGTACTGTTGCCGTCCAGTTACGTTACGGCATCCTTGGCGTGTAGCTCATGCAATCCGAGGACATTGTAGGATGAACTTTAATTACTTACATTCCGGTTCTGAGGTGCCAATGCAGTTTTGCTCAGATTGAAAACTTTGCTTTCACTCTTCCAATCACCAATCAGCATGTTGTTTGTGATTCGGAGAAAAATCTGCTATAAAATAAAGAAATTAAGGATAACTGAAGTGACAGGACATTTGAATCAGTTAAATCCATTCCAAGCATGTCTGCAGAGATGCTTCATACTGTCTTGCAATCAGCTCCACCTTTTCTAATTTCATTTAATGATAACTAAATGAAATATGAAAAACAGAAACTGATCTTCAAGCTTGCTTGTGATTCTTGTTTCTCAGACTACATATAGGACACAAATTATGCTTGTCTTGCGTTTTGCCAAAGGTGTTATCTTTCACAAGAAATAAAACATGTACACACACCGGAAAGAGTATTAAGATGCTGTCATTGATTTGGTCCCACATTTAATTTAGAAATACTTAGGTCTTGTAATTATTATAGATTATTAACTGATTATGCTTAATTGGGACCTGTCACTTAATTGGGACCACACTTGCTGAAGGGAGAAAAAAAGTCATATGTGCACAAATCATCAAAGAACAGTTCGTTCAAAAATACAATAGGTTTCCTGTTGGTCCAGAAAAGCTAAGTATGGCATCAGCGATTATAGTTTTGATTCCTAGAAAATTCACAAGCTGCTAAAATGTATTCCTTGACTGAAATGTAGGCCTATCTAGTAAATGCATAGTTGTATTTAATCACTCATGTCATTCCGAACAGGTTTTTGTTTTGTTGAGAATATCGAGCTTCATAATGACGAAAAACACTACAGAAGGATCATAAAAGTAGTCCATATGACTCTTGTTAAATATTCCGAGTCATATAAAAATGTTGTGCGTCAAACAGACTGAAATTTAAGTCTTTAATATCCACAGAAAAGTCTTGACATTGAAGGCGTCATGAATCAGAAACCAATCGTTCTTTTGAGCCAAATCTTTTCCAGTTCACACAATCGGTCTGGATGATTCATTCACGTATCGGATTGGAATGATCGAGAAGGGTGTTCCTGCACACCCGGAGGCTGCAGTTTCAGGACCGCATTTCTAGGACCCTGGTGGTTTAGTTTGTAGTAATGTTTGTACATGTTGTTAAAGATATTGAATCTCAGGAACTTTTTTTAAAATTTCAATTGTGATTTTTGATTTATAAATGCATCAGATGTTAATTACAAAGTGTGTAATACCTGCTTTGAGTTAACAATTTTAAATTTAAATGAATTTACACTTAAAATATAAATGAAAAATGTATTTCAGTCTTTAAACAACTGAAAAAGTGGAGTACCTTAAGTCTTAGTTTCTTGAAATATACTGTATATTGATTAGCCCCCTTAAGTTTAACTAGCTCATTATCAGGTATAATAAAGATGGAATCAAATGAAATCAGCATTTGCAGTCACTAAATTACAGCCAGATATTTAAAAGTTTGTAGAGAGGCAAGACACAAGACTCAAGAATGATTCAAGAATGCATATTTATATACTGTATATACTCATTTTTGCAATAACACATAATACAACATAAAAAAAGACCCCCTTTTCCGTCAGTTGCTGCATGGACAGAAAGGCTGTAGGCTTCAACTCCTGAGAGAGATAAAAAAAAGAGAGAGAGAGAAGGAGGGAGAATTAAATAAGAAACATTTGCTTTAACATGTTTAACTCTGTAATATATATTTCTGATATAACGCTTATGCACTGTTGGGGTGGTAGGAAGAG